TCGCGTCCCGAAATTAGGGGTGCCGGAAGTTTATGTGCTCGACAAACACTCAGGATCGCGCCCGCACCCAAAAGATTTCCGACTTGAACCCAATCCGAATTTTTGGGTATCCTAGATATTATGTAAACTTTTTTTATACATAAACCATTATTTCATAAAGTCTATTAGCACATTAACACGAACCATTTGTTGTGATTCAACAATTAAATTAATTAAACTATTGTAAATATTAGTGATCGAATTCATTATTTATGTACAAATGAAAAACTGCGTATATAATAATCGTTGCCAAATAGGAAAATACGATTACGTTTGAATGTGATGTTCTATAACTAATTTTTTGTAAAAAATATTGTCCTATACATATATATATACTATATAATATACTATAAAAGATTATCAATTCTACTGTACATAAAGTTCTCTCTGTAAATATTTAACGAAATGAGATAAAAGTATACTGCTCGAGATATTAAACAAATTCAAAGTTAATAATTCGCTTATGAAAATGTTCAAATATGATTATACGAATGTAGACCTTAAGTAATCCTTTTTCCTTCTTTCTGAACCTTCTCTGCAGACTATAGGAATTGCTATACGTAGGAATAAAAAAGTAACGAGCGCATGTCGATCCGAAAAACAGCGCACCGTTCTCTCGTAAAGTCTAGTCGCTGTAATTTTAATATGTATGACGCTAGTGCTTAAACCTTCTACATAGAAGAAAGTAAACATAGACTCCGATGTACATACGTATAATATTAAGAGATTACAATTTCTTTTCGCAGGCTTGCAATGACGTAAACATATCCACTCTAATCCTCATATATAGGTGTTTGCAAACAGCGGTAATTACGTAAAACTAATTTGATATCAAGGGCTATCAATCAATCCGAAAAGTTCGTTTAGAACCAATTACGTACAACTCGATTTCTCTTCTTTAACAAATTTTATAAATAGCTTAAATCTATATAGAACTGCAAGTAATATTTTCATCTGTCGAAAATTAGATGCAAACGAGCCCATCATGCATTGTTTGACAGAAGATTTTACGTAGTTCCTTGAAACTACAAAATCAAATTCGAGAATATTTTTACGTATTACGTGTACTCAAAGTAATCAAAAATCGATTTTATTAAATGTACCTAATGGTAATCGATGCGTATGAGAATGCAATTTCGGGACGATGCAAATGTTTTTGAACGAACACATATGTACATATTAAACGGTAATACCATTAAGCATTAACGTATAAAACGAAATTGTTAGCTCGTACGGAACCAATTTTAACCATAATCTAGTCTATAACAGTTAAGACTTCGAATGCGAGATTAAACGTCACGCGAGACGAATTCTACGATGCAATGCAATGACAATGTCAAAATGTAAAAGAATCGTAAAATATACATATAGCGCACTCGAACCGTACCGGTTAAGGATATTTTAAATACCTACGTATGAACACATGATAGGACGATACGAATTTATGTTTGATATTACGTTGGCTGTATTCATTGAAGATAACGATAGAAGGATAACGAAAAGCAAACTTGTCGGAATAAAATTGATCATAAAGACTAATTCCATCTTTCCTATTTCGCTTGTCCCCTTGCCTCGGCTAAACTTTCTAATAAGAAAAATGAACACAATGCACATGAATAAATTTCACTTTTCACCCGCTCCAGGTGCATTTCACAATAATCACGTGATTGCTTTTTAGGATCTGCTTTATTTCTTAAAAAGTACAAAAAAGTATTACAGAGAAAACGATGCACTGTCCGTCAGCGATGTGGACACAGAGAGATAGACCGACAGATAGACAGAATCCGAGCGAGTTGGTGATATTGCCCAAAGATCGATTCTCAATTTGGTTCATCGTTTGGTTCGTGGTGCTTTACCGGATTTGTCGATCCTGAAAATCCCGATTACGAGTGTCATTTGTGACTGATACCTGAACACACATTGTTAAAGTTCGTGACAGAACGCTACTGTTAAAAAAACGCACACTCCGATTAGATGGGATAGCACTCAACGCGGCTTCTGCTAACACATACCTATTACTAATCCTGTAGTATACTAATGAGAACGAAGATTTTAATGAATCGAATGGAAGAACTACTAACGATGCATCATCTATCTTCAATTCCTATTTACATCTACCTACACTAACTATTACGACTACAGAAACATTACTACATATGATTGATTTTAAGTGTAAGTCTTACAGCAACGGATACTATGTAGATGTAAAGGAGAGGCGTCAAAGGGTGCAGAGAAATAGAAAAGCCTCGCTAAAATAAATCTTTTTATTCCATTAGCACTTACAACGCTATGTAATTCGACTGACATTTGTTTTTCACTAAGCAACATGTCACTCGTATATCGTTTACATTTTCCTAAACACACAATCCTTTCTCTTCCCGTTTTGTAACAATTATTGATTCGACTAGTTACACTTTATTACTTCATCGTTATACCTTTCCTCGTCACTACATTAAATCGTTTTTGTAAAGAGACAATGAAAAGATACCACGAAGTTAATGTAAAGGATAGAAAAGCGATTAATACTGTATTAGACACAACTCATCACACTGAATATCCCTATCATTCAATGATAACGATGTTATACAGAGTGTCTCAGTAATCGTAATACCACCGGACAAGCGATTATTTTACGTGCAAAAATGTTACAAAATATGGAACAATGCTTATCCTTTCACTAACTTCGTTTTAACGAAGTTAAATTTTTAAACCAAACGAATAAGCTTATACTTCTGATCTAACTAACAAGGACTAGCATAATTCACCACTTATACGCCCGTATAAGTAAATCATAAGCGGATCGAATATTCAAATTCAATTTTCTCAACAACAAGCCTTCACACATACACGTGCGCACGCAAAAGAAAACATTTTATTTCGTCTTTGCGGCTAGTGCTTTTATGTAAAATAACTTCCCTCTAGATTGCCCCACAATTATTTAGACGTCCAGTACATAGGCACGAACATAATCATAAATATGCAATTCGTTCCGATAACTATCAGATTTGCCTATCAAATTTGTCAAACCCTGTTATGATATATTATTTAAATGTTAACCACGTCTTAAACGTAACACCTTAACACCTTGAACGTAAAGGTATAAAATCTTTGGTCTGACTGAAAATCTTTTGTACATGCTACAGGTTTTACAAAATTCGGCAGCTTATGTCTTATAAAATTACTTTCTCTCTCTCGCTCTCTCTCTTTCTCTTTCTCTCGCCTTCCTTTCCTCTCTCCCTCTCTTTTCCTCTCATTCCCTGTTCTAAGAAAAATTTTTGTAATTCTCTCTCACTTTTAAAGTCTCGATGTGAGAACGATCACGATTCGTTCGCCACAATGGCTTTATCTACAATTTACATCTATTTGCTTCGAATTACTGGTAATAAATATTATTTCGATAATAAATGTAATACTATACTCGATTATTCAATGCAATTATGATGTATTTGCATTATTATTATTTTCTTTATTTTTTTAAGCTCAGCTAGCCTTCAATATGCAATATAATAAGCAAATTTACATTTACGATCAGGAGTTCGTACACATTGTTTAACAACAATAATTTTTCATGGATCTTTCTTGATAACGAAAATGTCAAAAAAAGTATATTCTTTTCAGAATATGATAAAGCAATCATTTTTCTACGAAACCTAAGGCTGAATGTGCACTTATTTTTGCTTCGTTGTGTCCGTAAGGTCTAAACTAGCCTTTTCTAGATTTGACAATCTTTGCTATAATATTAAATAAACATATTCCAAGTAAACATAAATAACTTCATCTGTATAATATATATTAGTATTCTATTACACTCTTTTCGTTTAGTTCGAGAGAAACGAAAAGGATGCAGTGCAGAAATAACAATTTGGAAAAAATTTGCTGCTTTAATGTAACAGAATTTCCGTATTAAACAAATAATAACACTAAACAAACATAACAATGACTTGTAATGCCAATATTTGCAAAATCCATTGCTTAAATTAGCAAAAGTCTGATCTTTCTAAAATTTATATGTATATCAGAACATGACAATGAACTCCTCGCAACTATTTATTAATTTCGTAGTATCATATAAAATTGCAAGGATTTCAATGCAAGTTTTATGCAGTGTATTACAATTCTGTCATCGACGAGATAAATATATCTCACTTGATAAAAAGAATTACTGAATTGTCTTCCAAAACTTACCACTGCCTTTGATACCTTTGACCTTCTGTTGCTTCTTTTTCGCGTCTGGTGGAATTGATAACGCTTCCCTGCTTGATTCACTTCCTCCTGAACCTGAACTACCTCCAGCCATGTCGGCTTCCTGTACACCGCCACCTCCAGCTTGCGCAGCAAGTGATTTCTTTATGTTAGTGATCTGAGAACAAAATTCGAAAGCAAATTAAACACTCTTATTAGTATTCTAAGGATAGTTGACAACTTTTCTTTAAATAAATGTTACTTACGTCTCTTTGTATTCTCTCTTTGTGATAAGTGGCTTTTTGTTTTTCTATATTCGCTCTAGTAACCTGTTCTTCGATACATGCCAACACAGTATCGCAAGCCTGACCCCAAGCAGCCAATGTTTCACCAACTACACCTGTATCACCAGGTCTGACATCACGTCCCAAACCAGCATAGTCTACTTCTAATTGTGAATTCTTTTGATCCAGTTTGCCATGTATTATGTCTGCGTATATGGCTTCTATTATTAAATCTTCTAAATCTCTAACATTTTTTATGTCTAGTTCTTCCAATAAAACAGAATATGGTATACATCTGGACTTTGTAGCCAATGTTACAATTGTTAAGTGTTGAAGTTTCTTCTTTTGAACAGGTGTTAGTTCTAGAACTCTATTTTTGTTTTCTAAGTACTCTTTGTATGTGCCATATGCAAACAAATTTAGAGTATTCCAATATTCGACATATGGCCCATTTTCTAGTTCTTTGATATTAGGCATATCTAATAGTTCTCCAAATACATGAACGCCTGGTGTTTCCACTGCTTGTTTAATAAGTTCTATCGCAGCTGCACCTTTGGCAGTTTTTGCAAGCAACACAAACTGTTCCAAAGGATTGCTAGCTGACTTTTCTGTAGTAGTTCCTCCAGTCATATTGGACCTGTTAAATAAATTATGAAAATTATTCTAATAGCAGACTTGAATCAATACTTGTACAGAATCTATTCAAAATATAACTTTTTAAGAGAGGTTAAGAATTGCACTTTTGACACACAAGTGTCATTCGAACATTATTAACAATAATCCGCGGATATATCTAATTTAATGAAGATATTTGTAATAAAATACGCGTTTGTTACGTAAGAATATCTTACTTTGTCCACTCTTGTTGTTTACAAATATCGAATTGCTTGTGGCTGCTTGTGGCTACTATATAAATCAGTGTTGGGCACTCCGTGGGATTTTTGTATGTAACTAGGCGTCTAAAACACATGCGCTAATAACGTCACAGCTAGAGATATCACATGATGTCCGCAATCCCGTGTATAGAATAGATGGTGCCCATCACTAGTATAACGGGTATAACGTGTATAATGCATATTCGTAATGTTCAGATCAGACCTTGCATGCTTTACATCCCGCGTTTTATCGAGGATCATTCGTGCTACTGTGCATTCATAATCAATCAATGAGATACCATGATGGAGTACACTGATACCGTAAATAAGGAAAATGGAGCAAAACCTATAATGCGACCACAAGTTGAATCTGGTCTGGAATTGTTCGCAAGAGTGAATGCGAATACTAAACCACGTTTATGTGGCTTTGAAAATACCTTATTTCCAGACGGTCTACGAAATATAGACGTTATAGAAATTGGCGGTGAACGGTCAACTGGGAAGACTCTTCTCCTGTCTCAAATACTCGCTAAATGTATTTTACCAGATCATTATCGAACAATCCGAATCCAAGGACTTGACGCTTCCGTAATTTTAATAAACACCGACCATCATTTTCAAACGTTAAAATTGGTTGAATTGATGAACGGTGTGATAGATGCTGCTAATCAAGCATCAGCTACACGTGTAACAAAAGGATTGAATTTGGATAAGACATCTGTTATTCAAGAGTCTTTGCGTAATTTAAATATTATCGATTGTTACAATAGCGAGCAATTTTCTTTAACTTTGCGTACTCTGGACGACGTGTTCATTAATAACACGAAAATAGTTGTTTTAGCAATTGACAGTATAACTGCTTATTATTGGGAAGATCGTGAAGCTAATATGATTAAATACAATAATTACGTAAAGGAATTGCTGCAGCTTATCAAAAGTCATACAACTTTATTCAACATTTTAACAATTTATACCACATGTTCTGAAAATACTTGTAACAAGAAAAAACAGATTCTACATAATGTTGATTATAAACTACAATTAAGTAAAACAGATAATTCAAATAGATTTTTATGTACTTTACAAACAGAGGGGAATATGAAAAAATTACATTATTCTATTTCATCAAGCGGTATAAAATGGAAATTGGATTGAAAAAGAGAGACTATTTTATTATATTTAATAAACTTTTTTTATTCAGAAGAAACTAACAAAAGAATATTTTATCTACAACATCCAAAGGATTTAATAATCTGGAACCAGCTAATATTAAATTTGGTGATTGCTTATTAACATGTGCCAAAGCTACCTCTTGTACTATTTTTGCTTCATCAGCAGTAATTCCTCCAACAACATATATTAAAACATAAGGATTAGAATGAGGATGCCGCTTTGTTTTGCCTCCAAGAAGTAAACTACAACACGAGAAAATGTTCAATAACATAATTAGCAAATTAGGTTCGTATGTAATAAGGAGAAGAAAACAAAAATGTTTACTTAAAACCAGCTGAGATAAGCGAAGCTGATTTTTTACGAATATCCCGCAATTCTCGAGTCCTATCTGCACTGAACACATCCTTAGTTATTTGTTCCAGAATTCCAGTGTGTTTAATCACTTCTTGAGAATTTGTCATGAAGTATCTGTAAGGAACGATTGTTAACTTAATGAAAGTAATGCAAGAAACATTTTTTTAAACAATTAACCTGTAGTCTTGCAGTGTCAAACGTTGTTCTGCTATTAATCGGAGAATATCACTAATACGCGTTGCGATTCTACACGCTGTTTCTCGTGCTGCAGGAACATCGTTTGCTCCTGAAACAAAAATAATTATATAATAATCTGCATCATTATCTTTTATCTTTATATAATAATCTGTATTTACAATTTTCTATTATTAAACAATATATACCTGATAGTAATAAAGTGCGTTGATAAGTTGATTTAGTACTAGTAAAAGGGTTTTCCTTTAAGGCCTGGAGATCTTCAAAAATCGCATCCGCAACTGATTCTATTAGCTGACGTTCTTGTTGTGTGGAAAACCGAATCTGCGTTCCCGCAAGAGCATAAACGTGTATTAATAATGCCAGTAAATTCTCAGTATTCAACCCTCTGTGAATTCGAGTTCGAATAATGTTACTCAACTGAAAAACCATTTCATTTATTTTTACCAAGCATAATTTTAGTGTACTCATGTAATACCGAAATTGATTAATTACCTGTAACAATATGCTCGAGGATTCGCGACTGACGGAAAGATTCTGTAAAGCTAATTTCTCTAAGCTGGTAAGTAACTCTTGCTGCCCAGCCGTTTGCGATGTTGATGCTTCAATTATTGCTAAAATACACTGAAATGTATTTGAGAACTAACTACTGCGCTAATTAAGTCAAAATATGGAAATCAAAAACTAAATGTAGGTACCTCTAGTTTCTCTATATACACTGTCAGAGAATCGTTATTTGTAGTTTGAATCTTGTTAAGAACTTTTTCCAAACTACGTCCAGAAATTCTAGTTGACATTTTCAACTTAGGACTATCTTTCGTCAAAACCATGTCATTCAATAATTGATTAGCTTTGTTTAATAACATTTTTTCCTTTTGTGAAATAAAAAGGTCCATCATATTTTTTTCTACGCTCGCTAAACACCCTGGTACATTGTAGGATTTCAAAGATTCCTTGAAGAATTACAAAAAAATAATAGATAAATATTTGGGACAATTAATTTTAGAATAAAATGAAGATTAATGGTTTACCGTTGCCGTTCCAAACACAGGTTCCATATTAATAGCCACATCATTGTCATGATGTGGCAACCGTGGAAGTGTTCGTAATATTTTTGTGAGGAAAGATTCGGTACTATTGCTAGTAGCTGTACAAAGATCCAATGTTCTATCAACCAAGATAAGGGAGACCCCTATTTCTGGAACTTCTGAGGAAACCTGTACAAATAGCACTTAGTAACATACTTTTTAGATGCTCCTTATTCTCTAATACTCACAGCTCGTTGATTTATACTAGATATATAATTTTCTACATTCTCTGCAAGATGATCACTTAGCCTTCCAATTGAATAAACATCAATTGTGGCATTTATACTGTCAAAAAGATTACAAAATGAATATGCCAACAGATTCAAATTAATCAATGTGTCATTTGGAATGTTTGTATCTAAAGGCGGCATCATATCTCCAAAAGGAGGCGTGACAAACAAATCCTTATTTAAAAATGCAATAAAAATTGGTATATACGTAATATCAACAATAAATTCCTAAAACAAGAAATTCACTTTACTGATAACTGGAAGGAACTAATAAGTTTGAACAATTAAATAAATGTAGGAATGATTAATTAACGAACTTTGAAAATATTTCCTGAGGCCATCCAAGTCTTAATATCTCTCTTTAAATTAATGTAATTTAATTCCTGTTCAATGGGAAATATTCCTGTAGAACTGACGGTACAACAAGGTGCACTGCAGTAAAGTAAGCAGACGTCAAATGTATTTTTGGCCAGAATCATTTTTATTGTTCGCTGATAAAATGCTGGATCCCCTGAAGTTGATATAATTACAGCTTTCTTGGTACCTTTGACTTGCTCATACTAAGAGTAATAGGGAAACATGTGTTACTTCAAGGATCCTATTACCATTTCTTCCTTACTTGAAAAGTACATACTCGAAAATGATGCATGCCAAATTCATAGACTGCAATCGCTCCAGCATCCTTCAATGCTAAATATCCTTTGCCAGCTGTGTACCAGTGCAAACACTCAATTGCACAATAATCAATATAAACTGCTGCATTGCGAACCTCAGCAAAAATGTTCGTCCAACAATCGGAAATATATTTGTTTATTTTCAATGTAATATCCGTCATTTCTTCGTATTATCTGTAACTTTTGATGGACAATAACAGTGTTTAGAGTTTGGGAGGTGAGGTTGGGGTTGGGACACGGACACGGAACTGAGCCAGCTCAAGCTTGTGTTAGTTCTTTATGGGTTTCTAGGCGATAGTTTTCGAAGCTTCGACAGAAAGATCGGGATCATTATAGTCGCTAAGAAGTCTTGGGGATTTCGACCCTCGAATCACAAATTTATGACATAAATATCGTCGTCCTTGGGGATTTCGACCCTCGAGTCATAAAATTGCCTTTTTGGCACCTAAGAAGCTACCTGAAAGTGAACAGCGCGCGGAATTTGACGCTTCCTTTGTTCCTCGATCTGCAGACTCTCGACAAAATCACTGAGATCTTTTAAAGTAAAAATAAAAATATAAACATATATATCACACAATATTATTAACCGTACTTGGATACATATGCAATTTAAATAAATATTTTTTACTAAATTCAGACAATTAGAAAGCGTACCACAAATTCGGGTTCAAATTAATGGAGTTGCACCCAAACGGATGAAGAACAACGAGGCGATCCAGTACAAATAGAATATAAAGTAAATACAAATTTCTGTATACAGGGAACACAAGCGTTTTTCAGGTCGTAACAAATTTCTTTTTGTCTTAATTCGAACATAATTAAACCCAATATTTATTTTCGTATCCCCATTTCTCCTCAAATTCGAAGCTCATTTATACAGATTTTCTCCTAAAAAATATTGATAATTATTAACAATACGGGTGCAAACATCTCGTAATATTGGCTGGTCTTTATTACATATTAGCTAGCGTTTTAATTTATAATGGTTCTACAGGCGCGTATCAACATTTACGAATAGTGGGGAAAGCGACTAGTGTGGGGAAACATGATTTGCCTATGCCTGTTGTAAACGCTAAACGTTGAACTGAACATGTCAGATCCCTGCAAAAAAAAGCTGAGGCAGTACTAATATGGGATACATGCAAAACCCGGGCGTGAGCATTCTCATTTCCTCTCCGTTCCTCTCTGGCACTTGCTGGCACTGCATTAGAATTGGCATTCTTTTGGAAATAGCAGTATTTCTCTGTAGATGGCAACATGTCCGATCTTTTTTAAGCACTAGGGCTAGTGCATCTAGGAACAGGGCTGCCAAAAAATCGTATCCCATCGTATCCCATGCCCCTTCCACCAGCAAATTGGCTCGATTCCCCTCTCGCGATGGTCAGCAGAGAGGAACGTCACGCAGGGGTCTCAGAATTTATCCCTCGGCCGGAAAGTGGGGACAACGCGACCATGGTGGGGACTGGTACTTGATAGGTTCGCTTCGCGAAGGCTCATGAGGAGAATAGTAGTGGGGATCGAAATACGGGAAAAAGAGGGGAAGCGAGCCGTGGGCCGTGCGGGATAAATTCTGAGACCCCTGACGTCACGCCGTTCCCACTATCGCAGTGCGAGAGGGGAATCGAGCCAAGTTGCTGGCGGAGGGGATATGGGATACAATTTTCTGGTAGCCCTGTCTAGGAATAAGGAGTATGGCCGCAGTACACTTTGGTATGGCGACTAGTTCTGGTGAGTGTAAAACAGTGTAAAATTTACCTGTTGATAATCAAATTGGATTTCGCTGAGGAGGAAATTATCGAATTATTGTAACTCCAACGAGGCGAACCGCCTCCAGCAAACTCCTCGATTAACACGATATTCTGCTCTAATGAGCTGGTCACTATTTTCATACATAACAAGTGTAACCAAACGATGTACCAGCATCTCAAGAGTACGAAAATTAGGAAAGAAGTATTGTCATTATCTATACATGTAGCATAAGCTGCTGGATGATGGTACGCAACGTGACAAATGCTTTGTGAACAACTTGACAGATCAGGATATGTCAGTGATTTCATTCACGTGTACAGAGATAAATAAGAATGTAAAGTAATTGACGTGTTTACCAGCATAATTAGGTCTCCTTGTTTTTTTTTTTTAAATCTGTGTATAAAAAATTTCGTATGGGAGAATGGCAATTCGTATCGCATTAGAATGTGGGCACACATCAATGTTACGTATGCGTCCCACCCCTGAAGGGTACACTCATGATTGGGAAGTATTTGTGCGTGGTATGGACAATGCTGATATTCATCACTATGTGGAAAAAGGTAAACATAATTCTGGGTACATGTTTAATACATTTGGATAGTACCAACCAAACCGTTTTCTGATAACATGTCATTTGAAATTTCAGTGGTCTTTCAATTACATGAGACATTCCCAAAACCAAAGAAGATCTTAAAAGACCCACCGTTTGTGATAAAACAATCTGGTTACGCTGGCTTCGAAATCCCCATTCATATTTATTTGAAGAACAAGGACGACGGCAACAAAAGGATAGAAATTTTATATGACCTTAATTTGCAAACCAGTGGTCCTGCATACACAAATGTCATAAAACACATTGAAACTATTAGCAATCCTTCAGATGAGTTTAGAAGAAAACTGTTGAAGGGTGGTGGTGTAAGTATATTTTAATTGTTCTTTCTAAGAGTATAGAATCTGCAGGGGCTCGAAGTAGTACCCATTAAATTGGCCAAATATATAGATTTAGAGGACTATACTTTGCATCCTTATATAACAAGGTTTTTGGGTTGTGTATATAATAATAATATTTGGATTGAATCTGGCATGCTCCCATCGTAGTTTAATCAGAATAGAGTGATATTTAGTAAGATATACAAAATAATAATA